TCTTTTTTCGTGACCGGCAATGGATCGCAACCCTCAGTGTCGCGCCCGTACCGGACCGGGACTGGCAACGGGATCGCAACCCTTGGTGTTGCGCCCGCACCTCCCTTAGCCAGTGAGCGGGAACCGGTCTGTATGTGGGATCCGAACCCTCGGCAGGAGCGCCGCCGCACTCCCAAGCGGCGCACTGTAGCAGTGCGCCACCAGGCCGGCCCCTTATTCTGATCTTTGATGTTATGTGAAATTCTAATGAAATTTTTCTGGCTTTCCAGTCAGTAGCAGGTAATAAATCTGTAGTTCCATTTCTATGATTTAGAAATCCAAAATGCTCTGAAAACCAAACATTTTCTTATCCCTTTTAGGGGCAAAACATGATCTGAGCTGGTATAAGGCTATTGATGTTCTTTATTTACCCCCCTCTTAGTGTGAATATACATTTTTCTACAGAAATATAAACGTGTTTATTATGGGGAGTATTGCCTCAGACCTCAGTGTGATGTAACATGTCATATATGCATTGTATTACCTTTCTAAAATCCAAAATATTATGAATTTTGAAATGTATCTGGCCCCAAGGATTTTAGATAAGGGATTGTAGACTCGTACAGTCAGATACAGTAACTATAATACAAAGGAGGACTAAGAAGATTAATCCTGTAACTCAGACATAGCAATGTAAGGCCTTTTAGTGTGGAGCAGTGCTTCTCAAACTTGAATAATGTATGGGTCCCTTTTGAGGAAAAATAATTATAAATCTTATTTTGAGAATTGCCATCTTTAGTTCCTGAAGTACTTTTGTATAAAATGTCTCTCACTTTTCAAAAATAAGAGAAATAGCACATGTTCTCACTTATTGGTGGGAGCTAAAAATAAATAAATAAAGTCACACACACACACACACACACACACACACACACAAAACCGAGGGTGGGGAGAAGACATAACAATTACAATTCCTTGAAGTTGACACGACAAGCATACAGAAAGGACATTGTTGGGGGGGAGGGAGGAGAGGGAGGAAGGAGGGTGGTTTTTCGGTAATTGGCCACAATAATCAACCACATTGTATATTGACAAAATAAAATAAAATAAAAATGGTAAAATACATTTTTATATTGTTACTGAAATGAAAGCACGAAATGAAAATTTGTAACACTTGTGACCCCCCAGAATGTATCCATGGGACACACTGATTGAGAAACACTGATAAAGTGGCAAATAGTCCCATATACTTGAGTACTCCCTATAAACATTATGCTTTATCAAGATTTTGTTTATAATGATGAGCCTGAATCATAATTAACAAGTTAAAATATGTTTTCTGTATTTAAAGAGTATGATTTTCTTAAAGGGATAGGAAGAAGCTCCTCTTTTTAAAAAAAATGTACCCAGGGGCCGGCCCGGTGGCGCACTTGGTAGAGTGCGGCGCTTGGGAGTGTGGTGGAGCTCCCGCCGAGGGTTCGGATCCCATATAGAGACCGGTCCGCTCACTGGTTGAGCACAGTGCGGGTGCGACACCGAGGGTTGCGATCCCATTACTGGTTACGAAAAAAAGACAAAAAGGAAAAAAAAAATGTGCCCAGAGTTTTTAATATTTACCTTCTACCTCCAGGGTTGTGTCGTCTTCCACTTGGGAATCACTATCATAATGAGCAACTCTTTTTTTTTTTTTTAAAGATGACTGGTAAGGGGATCTTAACCCTTGACTTGGTGTTGTCAGCACCACGCTCACCAGTGAGCTAACCGGCCATCCCTATATGGGATCCGAACCCGTGGCCTTGGTGTTCTCAGCACCACACTCTCCCGAGTGAGCCACGGGACGGCCCCATAATGAGCAACTCTTATTAGCAGGAATATGTCTAATTTCTCAAGTGTGCAGAGGCAGAAAAAAACTTAATAACTGATGCACTAAAATAAAGGATAATGTAGTTTACTGACATTGCCATCAGAAACTAATGTAAACATCTATTTCTAGCAGCATGGTGAACTTAACTACCTGGACCAGCCTTTCTGCTGAAAACCTAAAATGCTGGATAAAATAAAATCTTAAATACATCAGTGCTCTGGCACAAAAGTAAAGAATACATAGGCTAAACGCTGATTGGAAACCCACTGAGGTAAGCTGAGTTCTGAAGCTGGTTATTGCCTTGAGAGTATTTGCCAAATGAGGTGAGCTTCTATTTTCATTGCCTTGTGGTGTCAGGGATCAGGAAACAAAGCCCAGCCCCAGTCAGGTGGAATATCTAGCAGGTATAGTCTGCCCCCTTAGTTTGGGGCCTCATGAGTTGTACCTTCTAAATGTAAGAGTGATCTAGAAATTCTTTCCCTTCGTGTCCCAGGGACTACAAAGAAAATTGTCTTTCTAGAATATCGCTGCAAATGGAAAAATAAAAATCTTACTGAAAATTTACTGCCACAAACCAGCCCTCACACTTGTTTGCAGCATGAGTTCACACTGAACCCCAAACAATTTAGAATGATCCTGGACTGTTAATACTCCTAGGGGACTGATAGAACCTAACACAATTGTCATTATCAAAGAATTCCCATTGTTAAAGTTCTAATAAAAATGAGTGGCTTATAATAAAAATTACAAAACATCCAAGGAAACGGCACAATAGAATCAGTGGAATCATATCTGCAAATAGTTCCCATTTTGGAATTACCAGGTATAAAATATAAAATAAGTACATTTGATATGTTCAATAATGCGATGGTTAATTCCAGGTGCCAACTTGATTAGATTAAGGAATACCAAGAAACCTGGTAAAGCTATCTTTTTAGTTGTGTACATGATGGTGTTTCCAGGAGAGATTAACATGAAACTGAGTGGACTGGGTAGAAAATATTGCCCTCCATATGGGCAGGAACCACCCAATCCTCTGGGACCCCGGAGAGAACAAAAATGGAGGAAAAAGGCGAATTTATCTCTCTCTCTCCACTGGATAGATTCTGCTTTCCTGTCTGTGGACATCAGAGCTGGAGACTCTTCAGCTTTTGGGTTCTGGGATTTACACCAATGGCCCCATCAGTTTCCCTAATTCTGAGGCCTTTGGACTTGGACTGAGCTATTGGCATCCAGCTTGCCGCCAGCTTATCATGGGACTCTTTAGCCTTTACAATCACATTAGCCAATTTCCCTAATAAATCACCTCTTATATATTTATATACATATTCTATTGGTTCTGTCTCTCTGGAGAACCCTGATTAATACAAATAAGGGGCTTAAAAATGAGGAAAAGAGCAAACAGTTTGAAAAAGAATCAGGAATTCTAGAAATGAAAATAGTAATTGAAATTAAAGGATAAAAGCAAATAGACTCTTGAAGAAAAATTAACATCTGAAGAAATCTAGAATGCAATGCAGAGAGATAAGAAAAAGGAAAATATAAAAGAGGTTAATAAAGGGAAAAATTTTAAGAGAAAAAACAGGTTACTTCAAAGGAATATCAGGTTTTAATAATAATAACGGATGTAGAAGACCATCAAGTGACACACTAAGTGAAAATAGTGGTCAATCTAGAATTCTATAGCTAGCAAAAAATGTCTTTCAAGAACAAGGGCATAATAAAGACATGCCCAGATAAATAAAATCTGAAAGTTTCCCAGCAGATCACTTTTTATGTAGAAGGAAAATGATCATAGGTAAAAAGTCTGAGATTCAAGAAGAAAGTGATTAAAGAGAGTGGCAAATATGTGGGTAAATTAGTAAAAATTGACTGTATAAGCAACAATAATAAGCATCTTGTGTGATTAAAAAAAAAGAAAAAACTAGAGTACCAGTTAATATTTTATTAACCGGGAAGAGGTGATGAGGTGATTGGAACTAGCATTCAAAAGATCATTTTTGTTGTTGTTCAGGAGAATAATAAAGATAACTTTAGATTTTAATAAGTATCAAAAAAAAAAATTTTTTTTTTTAAAGATGACCGGTAAGGGGATCTTAACCCTTGACTTGGTGTTGTCAGCACCACGCTCAGCCAGTGAGCAAACCGGCCATCCCTATATGGGATCCGAACCCGTGGCCTTGGTGTTACCAGCACCGCACTCTCCCGAGTGAGCCACGGGCCGGCCCTAAGTATCAAAAATTTTAAGGTCACACTTTAATGATAGAAATACATATATAACTTCCACACTAGTATATGACAAAAAATGGAATGAGGGAAAAAAAAAAGTAATCTCAAAGAAGGTGAGAAAAGGAGAAAAATTAACATGGAAAGAGTGGGATACCAAATAAGATGGTGGAAGTAAATCCAAATATATGCATGCTGTATCTTTTAAAATGTTCAGCATATAGGTTTAGGAGAGAGCCTACAAGGAAACAAAGAAAAGAAATTTTGAAAGTAAAATTATGGAAAAAGATACATCAGGCAAATATTAATGGGAAGAAAGCTAGTATTACTATGTGTATATCATTTGAAATAGAATTTAAGGGGGCGACCTGTGGCTCACTCCGGGAGAGTGCGGTGCTGGTAACACCAAGGCCACGGGTTCGGATCCTATATAGGGATGGCCGGTTGGCTCACTGGCTGAGCATGGTGCTGACAACACCAAGCCAAGGGTTGAGATCCCCTTACCAGCCATCTTTAAAAAAAAAAAAAAAATAGAATTTAAGACAAATGGAATTACTAGAGATAAAAAGCATTGTTACTAATGGTTAATGGCTCATTTTGCCAGGATTATGAAACCAATAATCATAGCAGTGAAATAAAGCAGAATCACAGATCTACAAGGGAAATTTGACAAATTGCGCCATATAGTGAGAAATTGTATCTTCCTCAGTATTTGATAAAGGAAGCAGACAAAAAAAAAAAGTAGGAATATATAAAATTTAAACACTGTAATTAACAGGCTTGATCCAGTGGACATGTATTTCATCCAGATACCATAGAAATACCAACTGAATCATGAAAATCAACCACATACTGGACCATCAAACAGGTTTCAATAGATTTCAGAGTACTGATATCCTATAGACCACCATTATGATACCAACTCAGTTGTTAGAAATCAGTAAAAAAATAAAAAATCACATGGAAATTAAGAAAAATTCTTCTAAATAAACTTATGGATGAAAGAATAAATGTTGACGGAGGTTGGTCTGCTGTTTGAGAGGAGATGTTAGGTCATCGCTCAGGTTCGCTTGTGGCAAACACAAAACTGGGATGGTCCAGGTAAAGGCATTGCATTCTTGGCATACCCAGTGAGAATATGCAGGGACACTAAGGACCATTGGCAGATTGGTTCCCCAACAGTAAGGATGAAATTTTTAATAAACGGAACAATGGTGTATCCATATGTAAAAAATGGAATTGGATTAAAAAATACATTTTGGCGAATTGAGGACTTAAATATGAAAGGCAAAACTATAAAACCAACTGTACACCATAAAGGAAAGGGTTAATAAATTGCACCATATGAAAGTTAAGAAGTTTTTCATTGACAATTAACAAAGACTGAAAAGACCAGCCTTCTACTGGGGAAAGATATTTGCATCACATATAAAGATTAGTATCCAAATATTACAGATCATTAAGAAAAATACAATCCTGTAGAAAAATGGGCACAAGATTTTTATAGGCACTTCCTAGAAGAGAAAACCTAAGTAGAGCATATGTATATATGAATGAAAGGAAGTTCAGTCCCATTGCTAATCTGGGAAATGCAAGTTAAAAGCACAAGGAGATACCATTTCATGATCATATTGACAAAAAAATAATTTTGGTACATGGAGCAATTGGAATGTATGTACATTCATGGTTAGTATAAATTGATTCAACAGTTTTTGGAAAGCAGTTTGTCATTTTCAGTTAAAGCTGAAGAGAACAGTAAATTCTCTGTGACCCAATAATTCTACTCTGTGACATATATTCTACTTTTAGATGTATACCCAAGAAAAATTTTTGAACTTGTGTTCCAGGTGATATGAACAAGGATGTCCATAACAGTACTACTTGTAATAGCCCCAAACATAAATAAATGTCCCTTAAGAAATTGTTGAATATTCATAAAGTGGAATACAAGTCTCTGTAAAAATTAATTACTGTTGCAATAATGTTAATGAATTTGGTGGGGGAAAAAACGAACTCCAGAATGTATTTTGTATAATTCAATTTTAATGATGTTTGAAAAAACATAAAAGGCTAAATAATGTTTAGGCACCCTAACATATGGGAAGACTATAAAGAAAAAGCTTTTTGTTTACTCAGTCTTTAATGCAATCAATTAAAATGTGGAAAAATAAAACAAGTCAAAAAACCTGTGTTTTTAAAACCCAAGTTTAGTGTTTAGTAGTTTCCTTAATTAATTTGGGCAAAAAGGCTATCAGTGTAAGGTATCTAATTCTCTGTAATGTAGCATGTTATGTTTTAGGTAATACTGAAAATTCTATGGTTTAGATTTTATGCTCTTATTTAGTCTCTGTATAGCACTCCTCTCAGACCAGTTTTAATACCAATGTAAGCAAAAGTGATCTTTTGGGAAATGATCAGAGAATTCTAGTATGTAATTTTATTTCTCTTGTCCTAGAGTAGAATGTCACTATAGTGTTGATCATAATATGCAGATATGCAGATTTCTCTTAACCACCTTGGGAGATGCATAAGATGCACAGCTATGAAAAAAATGGTGCATTTAGATCCGAAGCCCTCTTTTCACGATACCACCATGGCAGTGCACAGTGAAGCTCTAGGTTTCAGCTTGATTGTACTGGGTTTATTTGAACTTTCCACTTTTAAAATTCCCCTTGTGGTAAGAAACTCTGTTCCTTTCTAAGATGTAGAAGATTTGAAGTCTTAACACAAGTGTGTATTTTGCTAAATTGTCTAGTACATTTGTCTACTTTTTTTGGTAGCAACATCTTTGCTTTTAGAAGTTGGTTTATTAGTGTTTGTATTAAGTATTTGGGTTAAACTAAGTATACTCCTAAAAAATTGGAGTGTATTTTTCAAATCCTGCATCATATTCTCTTGGCCCTAAATATTTATTTTGAGTGATATTTATTATGTGTAACAATTATATGTGGTTTGTTGAAGTATTCTTAAAAGATTAACAAAAGGAAGTATTACATCAGTAGTCCAGGTTTTCTTTTAGTTCTTTATACATTTTGCTTTGTGAAG